TTCTGCAATATGAAGACATTTGAGACTACATAAGAACTATTTTTCTCTCCATGGTGATTCCTTTAATTTTGTACTGTTCCTTGGCAGTGTTTTTGAATACACCAGATTCAATATAAAGAGAGCATTGTGGGAGGTGTCCCTGCTCATGGCAGAGGGGTTGGAACTGGGTGATCCTTGTGGTCCCTTCCAACCCTGACAGATTCTGATCTGTTTTAGCAGAGGACTTTAGAGCCCTAATGGCTCAATGGTTGGACTTGATGATCTTAAAGGTCCCTTCCAACCTAAAGGATTCTATGATTCTATGATTGCTAGAACTAGTGTTAGGCTTTGTGTTTGCTTCATGGACAGGGGTGCTGTGCTTCTTTCACTTATCCCCTGTGTGTGTTTCACTTACCCCCTGCATTTTCTTTCCTGCCTTACTTTTGCAAACAAGTAGAATACTGAAATATGCAGGACTCCTCCTGCCCGTGAAGGAGAGTGGAAGGAATAGAGTTGTATCTTTCTATTTGTGCCAATGACAGACAAAGGAAAAGTCTTGAGTTTGTTGCAGACAAATTGCACTGATAGAGTTGCAGAATAAGGGAGACATTTTAAAAACAAAGATTTTTTTTTGGAGGAGAATATGCATTTTCAATTTGTCAAGATGGAGAGTGTCCATGTAGTTTTTACTACATCTTCTAATACATTCAATTAGAGTAAGAGACAGTAAACTAAAAAATCTGTCTTGCATCCATTTTGATCCAGCTCCGTGATCTACTCAACTGTATTAACCGAAGGGAAAATGCAGAGAGAGACTTAAGGAAAATTTCCATTTCCAATTTAGGGCAAATTTTCCATAGTCATTCTGTACCATGCAGAAACATGTTCGTGCAGCCCAAAAGTTGTTCACTATTCAGTGACTTTTCGAGACTGTAAAGATGGTGTTAGGTTTGCTCTGATTTTTGATAGCCCTGCAGACCTGTCACAGCAGTTGGGAGTCAGCTAACCATAACTGTGTGCAGTACAGTTGTGTGCAGGTGAGAAGGCAAGGCTGCAGCTGTGGAGGTTCAAGCAGTTGGACACCCTTGGCCTTAGCTTGCTCTGTGAGGAGGGATAAGGGCTGTTATGGAGGCTCCGTGCATTCATAAATCCCTTTATGTGTCAGCAATTCCTCCTGTGGTTCCCCACATTTTAGATCATATACCCCCAGATTAGGCTTGAAATAATCAAACCTAAGCATCTCAAAAAATCTTTGTATGTTTTGCCTAGAGCTTCTTTATTAGTTGCTGAAAAATTTTGAGATAGTGAGAATTTGAGTTCATTTTACCGTGTTCCTGCTCAGTGGAGTGTGATGCTATTACTTCTGTGTTGTTACTCTCAGAGTAGATTTTGGGGCTTTTTACACCTTTTTTACACCTTTTTTACACCTGACAAGCACCGAGCATCACAGGTGATGTTAGGACTGCACATTTGGCTGGCAGTTTAGGGCTGGCAAGAGAAGGATTGTACCATCTGGTCTTGAGAAGTGCTCCGCATCTCTAGCAAGACATTGGATAAACTCCAGTGAAGGTCACTGGAGAACTGATGCTGCTGAACTTTACAGCAGAATTGCCTGTTGCATGTGATTTCATGTGCATAAAATATGAACATTATCTGTGGTCTTATCTAGACTGTGGAAACTTCTCAGTGTTGCCAGAACACACATGAGGCCCCATGTGTGCTGGCTGCAGTGAATGCTAGAGGAGTCACATCAAATGCAATTTTACCTCCTATTCTTTCAGAGGTAAAAAGGGATTATACAATATAAAGATATGTGCCCCTGTTGCTGGTCTTATTATTCCAGTGCTCTTGAAATATTTCATTAGTATTTGAGCAGTTTCACAAACTCTCCATTGTAGAAACAGTATTATATGCATTTTTTTGCTTATTCTTTTCTCCTGCAGATGGATAACTTGATTCAAAGTTATTAGAACCATAATGCTGTCTGGTAAGCATTACTGATCAGATAGTGTAAAAGACATCTTATATTTCTTACTTCACCTTTGTCTTTTTTTTTTAAACTCATAATCATTAGAGTGAACTGAATATGATTTTTAAAATTACATGGAAGAAAAATTATCTGATTACCCAAATTACCCTTCACAACAAAATCTCAAAACCAGTTCTAGATTATGAGGGGCAAGGGTTTTTGCTACAATTGAGGAAACAGCAGAGATGGCTTTTAGTGGCACTGCTCTGTGGTTTGTGGTACACTGTGACATGGGAAAGGCATCAACAAGTAGTAAATTATATTAGAAGGTAATATAACGCAAAATTTCTTCAACAAACAGATTTTTTTGCATGAGGGTGGCTGAATTACTCACTCACCCTGTCTAACACTTGTTAGTGTGTTGAAACAAGCAACATGCAGACACATTGCTTGATATGTGGCATTCTTTGTTCAGTATTAGTATTGCCTCAGTGCCCCAACATGATGCTATGGGGCCCTGTGGTTTTGCAGCTGTCATCTGTCAGAGGCAATGTGCGAGTGAGATCTTAACCTTTTGTGATCAGAAATTGTCTCATGGTGTTTTTCAGAAGAAAAGAGATCATACCAATTCCAGCTGGGCGTAATCCACTTACCCAAGTCATCCTGCTAATTGAATTGTGCATGTCATTCATTGCTTTCTCCTATAAAATTTTGTTGCTAAACACCATCATTTCAGTGGTGAATAATGCAAGCTCTGTGGATGAGTTGTTGCAATTCAAGTAGAGCAGAACAGAAAGTAGTGCTTGGTAATTACGTAGCCACAACTATTGTTGCTATTAAGATGTTGCTCTGCTGTCTACCGAAAGGAATGCAAAAGTTACAGAGAGAAAGGAGAAAAACAGATTTTTCATTTTATGTCAAAGCTAGAAATTTTTTTGTCATGGGAAAGCTTTTCATTGTACCTGGAGAGACACTGAACTTGACAGGGTGAATACAAGGCATTTAGGTAATCAAGCAGAAATACAGTTTAACTATCCCTTGGTTATTCTATCAGTGGGTGGTATTGGCAAGAATCTGGAGCAAGGAGACTTTTGCAGTGCTAACTGATTTGAAAAGGGTTTTTTTCAAAGTGATAATACATGGTAGTATAATTAATGGTAGTACAAAGGAGGAAGCTCCTCTGAAAGTTTAGTACTTTATAAATTTGCCATTTCAAAAAGAAAAACAACAAAACCCCTTCCACATGTATATATCATTTTGCAATTGGATAACTGATGAGTTACCCTGTAGCAGAATCATTTTTTCTGTAGCCTAAATCCCAAGGCTGTCTGTTTTATACTTAAAGGGAAAAAAGAATTAATGCAGCTATTTTTTGTGGTTTTTTTTTTCTGGATTCCTTTGGAAGCCTGTGACTCACACCTATCCAGCTATTGAGCTATCACAGCTAATGATCTTTGATTGGTTTTATTGTTTTGCCTACTGAGAGCAAAGTTTCTGGAAGAGAAATGAAACTTTCAATTCTAGTTCTTGGTGGACCTGTTTGTGAATTTTGGCTCTCATTCTGAATATGGGAGGCTTTTTCTTCATTCTTGCATAACTCTATACTAAATTTGAGCAAAAAACCTCACGAGAAATCATCTCATGTGGTTGCTCAGATTTATATATGAGTAACTTCTATGGAGTTGCCTTTTCCTTTGGCGTGAGCAGTCCATGAACTTAGTATTTGTTGTGGGGATGATGTGCAAAAGAAGCAATTGGTACCAGCTGGCGAATACTGCTCAGGCTTGTTGTGTACAGCATACTCACCCACTGTACTATGTTCCTAGAGGATTATGAACATATTTTAATCCCCACTGTGTGGAACTGGATGGCTTTTAGATACAGCTGGATTCTCCCCTGGCTGATGTATGGAAATAATGTTTCTCAGTGATACAAAGGATCCTTCTTCCAGTGAATAATCTCAGAGGGAGCTGGTGTTGGTTGTATCAGTGCCCTGTCTCAGGGCCCACAGTTTAACTGAGGAACATAAAAACTGTGAACAGCTGGAAGTGGGATGTTACATATTAACATATTCTCCCATTCGCTTTCTTCTTTCCTGCTGTTTTCTTCATGATCTGTATTGAGTGTTGACAGTGGTGTGGTTGCAGTTTTCTGCTGCTACCACTCGCCCACTGACAAACTTTCTACTGTCAACAACGATGAGATTTTTGCTGGATTTTTAGTGCATCCTGCTCTAAAAGCAGCAGTTTCTTTTCAGCTCACTTTGGCTACCTAGCAGTTGAGAAGTCATCAAAGAAGCTTACTCATATGGTAGTGCACACATGTGTTTGTGTGGTGCTGTTCTCAAGCTAATAAGCTTTGTTTCTCATCAGGACTTTGTAGTTCAAGCAGGTTTAAATCATATTTATTTGAGTATGTCCTGAAAACAGAACAAATCTAGTGACCAGATTTATGTGTGAGGTTAAGACAAAGTTGCAGAGTTTGACTACAGTGTCCACATATGGAGGTGTGACCACAATACACTGCAAGCTTGAAGCCTGTGGGTGGGACACAGAGAAAGGTGTGCTTGTGGATGTACACTGAAGTCAGATGACGGGGTCTCAGTGGCTGTTTTATGTAGCTTGCCTACCACAAAGGTTAAGGCTACAAGTCTGGCTAGATGCATCTTTAAGTGCCTTGGCCCCATTAGGGTTAATATCAAATGGGCAAGCTGGGTTTCACTGCTTGCCTTAGCTTTCCCATCTGTAAGTTACCACTTGGGATACCCACTTTCTTACCTCTTGTCATGTGTTAAACATTCATTATGCACTAGCCTTAAATAGTGTTGAATTAAGAAAAGATAACGGACTGATTAAACCAATAGTTTACCTGTGTAACACTGCTGCATCATTTTGGGCAGCTAGGTCTTCCCTCAGTATTTGGTATCTCAAGGATTACAAGAACTTAATTCCTTTATAGTTGTATTTGACTTGTTATGTTTTAAAATGAATGAAGTACAAATTGTACCTCTTTATTGAAATATTCACTGCATCTCATTTTGTTGCTGTTGCAGCAATCACTGAAAAGAAGAGGGAGCAAAGACCTACCAAAGTCAGAAAAAAAGTCACAGCAGACACCAACAGAGGTATGTTGTAGGAACATTGGGTTCTCACGTGGAGGCTTGGGGGACACTGTGGAAACGATGTACATGATTTGTAGACTTGCACTTTGCTTCCATGTTTCCTTTGCTCTTTGTTTTTCCATATGCTGTGAAACGGAGACCTCTTACTCCAGATCTGCAGTCAGACAACATTGTGTCAAGAACAACCTAAACAAACCGCTGGTGCTGCAACAGAACCCACCAGCTTTCATGTACTCTGTATTTTAGGCAAAATAAGTAAATGGCAGCACCAGTGAAACAAGATTGTAGGCCCTTTGTGTGCTGACTTTAGAATTTTTGAACACTGTAAAGTCTATTAGTGTTGCAAGCCTGGGAAATATAAGGATTTTTTACAAGCCCCCCCAAATTCCACAATGTATTTTCTGGAGACTGTGCAAATTTTAGTTCCAAGTAAGATAGTATTTTCTCCTTTTTAAAACTTAAGTATTTATTTCCTTTTCTTTAATTTTTTTTGTTCAATGAAAATATGATTGCAGAAAAACCTCTTAGCATCTAAAGCTATGTACCTGTGATTGTCAATACTGAAATTTAAGATCATCCGCTGGAGGTCTCTTGTTTTACATCAAGTTTCTTCAATTACTACTTTTTCTTTTTTCTAAGGAGGACAATGAAGACCTGAAATGCCAGCTACAGTTTGTCAAAGAAGAAGCAGCCTTGATGAGGAAGAAAATGGCTAAGATCGATAAAGAGAAAGACAGATTTGAACATGAGCTGCAAAAATACAGATCATTTTACGGGGATTTGGACAGTCCCTTGCCAAAAGGTGAAGCAGGCGGGCCACCTACCACAAGAGAAGCTGAACTCAAGCTTCGATTGAGACTCGTGGAGGAGGAAGCTAATATTCTTGGGAGGAAAATAGTGGAACTAGAAGTAGAAAATAGAGGACTGAAAGCAGAGCTTGATGATTTAAGAGGAGACGATTTCTCAGGGACCGCTAACCCACTCCTGGGAGAGCAGAGTGAATCCCTGTCAGAATTACGACAGCATTTGCAGCTAGTAGAAGATGAAACAGAATTGCTGAGGAGAAATTTGGCTGACTTGGAAGAGCAAAACAAACGCATAACAGCTGAGCTGAACAAATACAAGTACAAGTCTGGGGCCCACGAGAGCTCTAGGCACCACGATAATGCCAAGACCGAAGCGTTACAGGAGGAGCTGAAAGCTGCACGGATGCAGATCAACGAACTGAGTGGCAAAGTCATGCAGCTCCAGTATGAGAACAGAGTCTTAATGTCCAACATGCAGCGCTATGACCTGGCCTCTCATCTTGGGATCCGGGGCAGTCCCAGGGACAGCGACGCAGAAAGCGACGCGGGGAAAAAAGAGAGCGATGACGATTCCCGCCCCCCTCACCGCAAAAGGGAAGGCCCCATTGGCGGGGAGAGCGACTCCGAAGAGGTTCGCAACATTCGGTGCCTGACACCCACGAGGTCTTTTTATCCCACGCCGTCTGGGTGGCAGAAGAGCTTCACTGACAGGCAGCAGATGAAGGACATTCGCTCTGAAGCGGAGCGGCTGGGCAAGACTATAGATCGCTTGATTTCTGACACGAGCACCATCATAACAGAGGCGAGAATTTACGTAGCTAACGGGGACCTCTTTGGGTTGATGGATGAGGAAGACGATGGCAGCAGGATACGTGAGCATGAGCTTCTTTACCGGATCAATGCACAGATGAAGGCCTTCAGGAAAGAGCTCCAGGCTTTCATCGACAGACTCGAAGTTCCAAAGTCTTCGGATGATCGAAGCGCAGATGAACCTTTGTCAGTGAGTCAGGTAGACTTTTACTTATTACAGCCTACAGGTAAAAAGGCTCTGCCAAGTGAATTAAGCCTCAAATTTGACGTATGGCACGTGAAAATTCTTTATTCTAGACAGTGGGCAAAAATCACTATTTCCTAAACTATTTAAATCTTCATTTGGCCATGTGAAACCTTGTTCTACCAATGGAGCTCTTTGTGAACGATGAATAAGTCTGGTCTCCTGAAAAGTAAAAGAATTATGCTCTAAGAGGTGGAAGTTTTTACTTCTTTCTGGCTTCGCAATTGCATTTGCCAGAGTTGTGCCTTCATTGCCAGTAAAGGCAATGCAGACAGCATTTTTGGCACATAAATGAACAGGATTGTTTTCTTTGTGGTTGGATTCCTCTTCAATGAATACAAAGAATATCTTACTAATTTTAAACAGGAGGAAGCATTAGATTTCCAAAATTATAGAGAATATGGCAAACCACAGAGAAAAACAAGCCATGCAGATCTCCTTTACAGAGACACAAAGCCATACTGTAGTGTGAATATCAGAATTGCTGTAACTGATTGTGCCTTGTTGAAGGCCTACAGGTCACTGCTTACATGCAGCAGTGACTGGCATCTCTTGTGTAGTTCATTTTTACGCAAAAGTGTTCCAGAGAGGTTGTGGGGAGCAAATTCTTTCTGGCCTCAAGATTGTTTGCCATGAAAAATTAAAATTACTTGCCCTTATATTACCATGCAATCCTATAGTTGGCAAATCTTGTTATTGCTCATGGTATTATCCAATGTTTTAGTAAGTGTCTGGCTTTGTTAATTTATTTTGTGCTGTCCTGCTAGTTTACAGTCAATGTAGTTGCCAGGTGAAGCTGAAAGCTATTATTTCTTATTCCTATGCTGACTAATTAGTCTTTTGTTTCCTTGTATCAGAAAGTCACAGACGCAGTGAGTTTAAAGCTAATCAATTACTATACATGTATTGCATGAAATCAAACAGAAATGGCATTTAGCATGCTCACTTTCTGATCTAGTAATAGCTCTGAGCTTGTAGAGCTCCCATTAGCTTAAAGGCAGAGAACTGCATGAACTTGCACAAATTGAAAGCAAACTAATTAGTATTTTCTCTAAACAAATAGCAGCAATAGTTAAATTGGATATTTCAGGGCTTGACCATGCAGAACTCCTGCCGAAGTCAATGGGAGATGGGCACTTGGTCCCTCCACAAGCATAGTCTGATTCACTATTTTGTTGGAACTTTGGACTTGCTATTCCATTAATTGACGGTTCTCTTTGTCTTTGTATTTACTTTCCCAGATGTTCCAGCCTATCATTTTACTTATTCTCATCCTTGTATTATTTTCATCCCTTTCATACACAACAATATTTAAACTTGTCTTCCTTTTTACACTGTTTTTTGTACTGTAAGCCATTCATCATTTATTGTTCATTGTAGTATTATTTTCAGTTTGTTTATTTTGTCCACCCTCCAAGATAAGAAGTGCAAGAGACATAGTTTCTGTAATAACCACTGCTGTAAAAACACTGAAGACTACTTGTTTGCCAAAACCAAAACAAAACCAAAAAAACTGAAAAAAACCCCATACCAAAAAGTCACCCAGTTGAATAGGAAACCCAGTCACCATGGTGTTCCAGGTAAGCAAACAGAAAATGATATTTTTCACTTTGTCTGGTTTTATCATTTTTGAATAAAAATTTTGTGACTGGAACCAATCTGATATTTGTAATTTGCACCAAATCTGAACCAAAGCAGAAATGCAGAGTAGCTGTGAGGCATCTGTTCCTTTCTTCTTCCTGCTCCCAGAAAAAGTGTTTATATTCTAGCCACATGTGAATAGTAAAACCACATTATATGTGTATTCTGCAATTGTCTGTCACAGCTTGGATATATTTTGCATGATTGTGATGATAATGTTTTTCAGCACTGTATTACCTGGATTAGACACCACAGAAGGGACAAAACTAGAATGGTTGGTATATAGAGCACTCTATCTGGAAATGTGGCAAGGAGCTGGAGCCCCTGAGAATGAGATGCACAAGGAGGAGGTACTGGAGTAGGCAAGGGATCTTCTGAGAAGCATAGGCTGGCTGCATTCTCTCTCTGCTCCAGAGAAATGGCCACACCACAGTCTGACTTGAACTGAAGAGAGTGATGCTAGTCACTTCGTCTGATGTCAAATGTCTTGTCCTAACAACCTAGTTTATCAGATAACATTCTCCAGTCTGTAGATGCCAGGACTCTGCATTCTCTCTTCAGGTTTCAGAATGAGTTCTGAATGAACGTGGCAACTCTCTGACTTGCTGAGTGACTCCATTCTAGCTGTGCTGTTGGTAGTGAGTGACCATCGGTGAGGGAAGGTTGTGTACACAGGTGTGCATCAATATTCATTGAATATTTCTGTCTTGCCTACAAGAGGCTTCACTGAGAGCACAGGCAACTCATGATCGTTCCGTCACACTGAACATAGGCAGTTTCTACAAACAGTAGATCTCCCACCCTGAAAACCTCATCTGAACTGCCCAAGGGAGCTCAGTTTTCTTTTCTGTTTTATTCAACCTGTGTTGAAACCACCGAGTCCCACACAATTCTCCAAAGGTGTTCATTTACAAGCAAGTGTATTAATGACATTATTTTGTGCAGATGCCACGATAAAAAAAAAATAATCTAGTAATAAATAAAACAGCTGTTTTTCTAGCTGGCAGTAGGGATCCCCTTCCCTTTGATTTATCATGCTAGTACTCTGTTCACTTAACTCATTGACCAGTGAGAACAGTTTATCTCCATGCCTGGGTTTTCCTCTGCTAGTTGAAGTGCTAGCGAGACGCCATTTTGAGGGCAACACCTCGGAGGGAAGCAGAGGTTGGGCAATAAAGTTAGTTCTATGAAAATGAAAAAACAGTAAATTCACAATATTCAATATTAAACTAAGCTTGCGTTTTTCTCCTTATCTAGCTTTCCCTCAGCATACTCTGCAGGTATAGTATTGATTAGTTAAATCACTTAACCTTAATTTAATCCAAATACTTCTTATTCCTACTAGGGGACATTTCTGTCTTTCTTTATTTTGTAATAGTAGGTATGTCTATAGGAAATTATAATCTGTGTATATGAGGTTAATAGATAGCCTTGCCTGGTGAGAAAATCAGGCCAAAAGTAATTTTGAGGAGCTTCTAAGATTTTCTAATTTGTGGTCAGTTGCCTAAAATTTAAGTTCCACATATTAGAAACTATTATGGCAAGATGTGGTCAAGCCTATTATCCCTTCACCATGAATTTCTGTAACTGTAAAGATAGTTTTCAAATTATTGGGATAAGGTGCTTTTGCTGCTTTTCTCTCAGCAACTGCTGTAAGAAATTTTTCAGTAACTGCTTGAGAAATATTTTTTTTTCCCCATGGATTTGCAATTTGGGCATTAAAAGTGTTATCATTTGAGGATTAAACTTGCCATATCAAATCTTAGCACAAGACCGATTTTTTTTTAGTTTCTTTTTTAGTCTTGCCCTTGGGAGAAGAAAAGATCATCTGGGTTTTCTTAAATGTTAACTGGCTTAATCCCCTACAAGAGGAAAAAAAATTTAAATGTGACTTAAATAGGCCACATCTTGAGTACTGTGTTCAGTTTTGGGCACCTCAATACAAGAAAGACATTGAGGTGCTGGAGTGGGTCCAGAGGACAACGAAGCTGGTGAAGGGCCCAGAGCACAGGTCTTATGAGGAGCAGCTAAGGGAATTGTGACTATTTATTTTGAAGAAGAGGAGGCTTGGAGGAGAGACCTTATCACTCTCTACAAGTACCTGAAAGGCTGTAGTGAGGTGGGTGTTGGTCTCTTCTCCCAAGTAACAAGTGATAGGATGAGAGGAAATGGCCTCAAGTTGCACAAGGTGAGGTTTAGGTTGCATATTAGGAAAAAAAATTCTTACTGAAAGGGTTATAAAGCACTGGAACAGGCTGCCCAGGGAAGTGGTTGAATCACCATCCCTGGACATATTTAAAAGTTGTGTAGATATGGTGCTCTGGGACGTGGTTAGCAGTGGACTTGGCAGTGTTACATCAGTGGAGAGATTCAATCTTAAATGTCTTTTCCAACCTAACCGATTCTATGATTCTGTGGTCTGAAGTTCTGGGCTTCTAGGTTTTAACCTACGCTTGTGTATACCTTTCTTGTATATAATAAAGATGAATATAGAGATGAGTATATAGAGATTTGCATGGAGTGTATCAGTAACAGTACTACTGTAAAGTAGTAGGAAAGTTTAATACACTGAATTCATCCATTGAGTACATCTTGGAAGTAACTGGGAAAGATTTGTTTCTTTCTCAGCAATCAGATAAAGGTGAGGATGAACCTCTTGAGTCAAAAGGTGGAGATAACATCTGCACAGGACTTGCAGTTACAACCCCATTGATTTCTCACAGTGTGTGTTCTTGCATATAGCTGGAGCTTTCCTTATCTTAATTCTGTCAGACATCAACAAAGCAAATCAAAGCTGAGAACCTTTTGGGACATTTGGGGAGCTATTGCACAGGCAATTACTGAAAATCTGAAATTAAAGCATACCAAAGCATACAAAACGATTTTAGAAGCTCCCTGCAGCCTTTGAATCTGTGATGAGCAAAAAGAATGGTGAGGACCCCTTTAAACCCCAGTACAGAGAAATCTCAATGAGAAGTGTTTTTCATGTTCTTCAGCATTCAGTTTGAAGGGAGTGATTTGAACTGCTTATCTGTTTAATACCAGATACTACAGGAAAGTTCACAGCCCTCCACTTTTCCACTATTTTAAAAGCTGCTGAGCTAGCTAATCAAATCACTATGGACATCTATCCATAGCCAGAAGATAACATCTAGCCAAGGAAATAAGTGTCCTGCATCTTGCTAAATTAACATAACCCTGTCTCACAAAGAAATGCAGTAATTATACTTGCCAAGAAGGGAAGCACATTCTCCCCAGTGGTGGGCAAAGTCCACCTCACAGCTGAGTGAGCAAATGCAGCTGAACACATCCACATCCTCTCGCAGGAGTGCGTGGGAGTCGGGCAGTGCAGGGGCAGAGAGAATACTGCTGATTCACTCCATTCTCTCTGCCCCAAAGCCTCCAATTCCGAGGAGCCAGAAGAAGAAGAACAGAAGATTTTGCTTTTTTGTGACAACAAGCTGGGTATGCCAGCTGGATATACCTATTGATTCAAATCTCACTTCAACCAACAGTAGATTCACAGTTCCCATTTTCTAATATTCTGGGAAAATATGAATATTCTGGCAAAAATGTAATGGAATTTGAACCCCAGGTTTACCTTAATTTTACACTTCTATGAAAGATTAAATTTCAGTTTCCTGTGTTTCCAGGGAATTCATTCCATGTTCATTCAGAAAGAAGAGATCTTGCTTCTACAGATCTAACTCAGACATTTTTACACTTACATAAATAAGCAGTAATGCCAATTATTTTTTTGTCATTTAGAATATACACATTTTTTCCTTTAAAGCAACCAGATAAATTCAGTTAGATTTGTTTCTTATTTAGAGTCATCTCTGAACACCCTTACAAAATACCTCTACAAACAATTTTCTTTACTGTTGTTATTAGATGGTCATCAACTACTGTTGATACTTACCCATGATACTAAAATGATCATCTTCTCCAGGATCAGAGATATCTCTTTCAATCAAAAATATCCATGCCTGAAGCTCCAGTTAGAGATAGACTAAGTGTCTGCTGACACATGTCAGCAGTGCTTCAGAATCAAAACTAGAAGAGAGCAGGTGTTATAGTGCAGAAATATGCCCGGCAGTTGGAAAATAGAAAATTGCCAAAACCATGGCTGTCTAAATGTGTTATAAAAAGAGATGAACTGCACATGAACTTTGGGACTTGTTTACAAAAACAAGCAGAGCTTTAGGATACTAGATGCCCTTCCCCTTAATCATCCCAGAATTTGATAGGTGAGTAGGAGACTTCTAAAGGCATCAGTATCAGGGACGTAATTCTCATTGGCTTACATTTCTGTCTCTGATTTAATGCCAGGGGAAGTGATATTCAAACCCAACTTTTGCCATTACACATGCAGTTGCCTATGGGGAAAATTACAGTGGCTCTATTTAAAGTAAACATCTAAAGTATCTGCCACCGATTTCCAATGTAACCTTGGAGAAGTGACATAACACTTTGTTAGCTCTCTTTCTCCTCTAAGTTATATACTACTGCAGAATTGCACAATGGTAAGAGCAGACAGAATTTGTATTCCCTTCTGCCCATTTCCCAGTGTATATATCCATTCCTGAGATGTGTTTGCCAAGATTATCAAGGTGTACAACATTTTGCAATCTGATGCTGTAGGTGGGTTAGTTACAGTGGCAGCAGTGCTGGTTTTAATTCTTTTTACCCAATTTACATAGACATAGAAAAATGAGTGTGCCATAACCAAGCTAGTATAGCAGGACTGAAGATGCTCCAAAATGATCTGGAGAGCAGGCTGTTAAACAGAATACACATTACTCTGAGTATATAATCAAATTATAGCCCATGCTGAAACTCATGCTCTTTTCAGTCTTGCATGATGAAGAGAAACTTGGCAGAGTGCTTGTTTGAAATGCCCTTGCACCTCTTTTTGTTGAGGTGCTGACTTTTAGCACAAGCAGAGCAGATAACCAGGTATGGGCAAAGTATGCTTTGCCTGTGGAAGAAATGTGTTGGATGCAACAAACCTACAATAGCTTTCCTGCTTATTTTGCCTGTGCCAGAGGCCAGAAAGCCACGTTTGCTCAAGCACTGAACCTGGGTTTTTAGAGTTCGCTTCATGTTCTCTTTGTCTCGACTTTTCTCTGCCTTTCCCATACTAGGTTGAGTTTAACCTTTAACCTGTGTTTAACCAGCTCTTGTCTCCTAATGAGCCCCTCAGTCTCCTGCTTTTCTCATTCCTCACACTGACACAAATGTAGGGTTTTGCCTGAGTGAAAACTCAAGCCTGGGATTTAGTCCATTGTTTTCTTTACATTTATTATGGTTTTCCTTAAAAGAGTCCACAGAACAAGATGAGGAACATTGAGTTAGCAATATTAAAGACACAAGAATAATAGCCTATGCTGCTAGATAAGAGTAGAAAAACATGTCTTCGGAGTCTGCCTTCATTTGCAGTGGTGCAGCTGTGCTGGCTTTGAGGAGCAGGCAGTGCTGTGGCACCCAGCCTGCAGCTTGGGCCCAGTCCTGCTCCCAGGCAGTCGTGATTTGCTCCCAGCCATGTCAGCTGGCGTGTTGAGATGTAACCTCCCAAAAGAAGGTCACGCTGTTTCTTTATGAACAGGAAACCTTTAAATCCTCAGAGCTGGGGATTTTCTTCAGAGCCATTCAGTCGTGTGCTTGGGCATCTCTGTTCAATTTTGAGATCATCTTTGAAATTTTCATAAATAGCCCAAGTCCTATTACTTGTGTTACATAGGAGCAGAATAAGCACCCCAGTATTGTATTCACTGAGGCTTATAGCTAGACCATAAAAGGAGAAAATATGTGTTTTCCCTGAAACCTGCTTTGGTATTTACTATGAAATGCGACAGAGCTAAAATCTATGCTGTGCATGGATTTTATCACAGACAAACCCTTACTGTTCTAAAGAAAAGGGTGCTGATAAAGCTAAGGACATGTGAATCCTCTTCTCTTGTCCTTCATCTCACTGATCCTCTTGTCATCAGCTGCTCTGCCCACAAAAATATACATTGCTCCTGCTTAGTGCATTTGAAGACACCCTTCTGATAGCAGAATTTGACCATAATTTTATGCTGCATGAGTCAAGTACTTTGTGGCCTTTCTCCAGGTACACGTGGTGACAAATGTTCCCTGAAATGTAAATTTTCTGACTACAGGTGGCCTCAATTGCTGTCCACAGACCCATCCAAGCAGAAGTACCCAGCAGGGCAGTGGTATGTGTGAAGCTTCTGCCCAGGGGTCTCTCACGGTATGCCAAATGAAAGCAATTTTACACACAGTGCAGCAAGAGTTACTGTGGTGGGCAGAGACACAAGGAGCAAGCTGAGTGCCTCGTGCCAGTGGCTCAGCAGGGGGAGCAGCTAAATTTCACTATGCTGGCTTCAGGGTCTCCTGTGGACTTTCACTTGCTGAATCATTTTTGTCACATATGCTCCCTTCCCTGACAACCTTTACGATGGGCATTCACAGAGCTTTAAATCCAGGCCGAGGTGGTTTTGGACCTTCCTTGATAGCCTTATGCCAGGGAAGAGTTTCCCTGTGCAAGGGAGATTCTCCACCCAGTTTCAGTTGCTTTGCTGAGACTCCAAGTACCTTAACAGACTGGAGAATCTGATCCAGAAACTTTATAAAGTAGCAGAAATATTTGGGTATATCCCAAAGGAGCCATTATCAGCATTCCCAGAATGCAAGACAGTAGGATTATACAGTGCCAAGTAATTCTGCACTTCATAAGCATTAACATACTTAGAATACAGAAAAAGATTTTAGGGGAGTGGTTTGCTTTTAGCTCTTTAGGATAGCTGTTAAACAGCAAAACTGCTCCTTTAAATAAACTCCCTTCACAAAGCAGTTCATGAGCATTGAGTTGCAAAGCTCAAAATCATCAGACTGAAAAATATAACTCTGAAAACTGAGTCTGGAAGGCAGGAAAGAATCTTCCTTTACAACATGGACGCTAATAAAAGAAACCTAAAATTGCCTATTGTCATAGCTTTAATATTAACACTGTCTGCCTTGGCAAGCTTTAAAGACTGGACTGCACTCTGAAACCTAAAAATGTCCTGGACTTGGAGTTGTTTACACAAAATATGAGGAGATATAATGTTACAGAGCTGGGGGCTGGAAGAGATGGCTTTAAAACCATCCTCCATCCACTGACGTCACGTGGAAGCCAGCTGCGGGGATGATGCTGAACGGAACTGTTTTTCAGTTTGCAAAAGTTGTGGAGTTATTCAAGGAGAGTTGCAAATGCTGCCCCCGTTGAAAGGCTGTGTCTTGCTTAGTTTTCTTATTTCTTTTAAAGATCAAGATTCACAGGACTGGATCCCAGCTAGCTATGCATTTCATTGCTTTCACTGCTGTTTAGAGATGGACTGAAAAACTTCTAAAGGATTTCTTATTCCATGAAAGGTATGGTTACAGCTTGCTTTAAATCTCGTTTTTAACAGTTAAGATTAAAAATGAAAGCAAATTACAAATATGGCAAACAGTTATTTAAACATCTCTCTAGTGTTATTTGTACGTAATGTGGTGTTCATGTGTGTTATATATGGTCTTTATTCTTTGAGAAAAATTCTTTGTTGGTTCAGTCAGTTTCTTCAGAGCATGCACAGATATATCAACAGAAGAGGGATGACAGGTAGCATTGTGAGCACTCCAGGCTCTTTTCTTCTGTCTCTTTCTCTCTCTCTCTCCCTCACCCTCTTCTTTCTTTCTTTCTTCCTTTCTTTCTTTCTTTCTTTCTTTCTTTCTTTCTTTCTTTCTTTCTTTCTTTCTTTCTTTCTTTCTTTCTTTCTTTCTTTCTTTCTTTCTTTCTTTCTTTCTTTCTTTCTTTCTTTCTTTCTTTCTTTCTTTCTTTCTTTCCTTCCTTCCTTCCTTCCTTCCTTCCTTCCTTCCTTCCTTCCTTCCTTCCTTTTTCTTCCCTCCCGTTTTGCATTCTTTTTTCTATATTTTTAATTCTTTCTCAATTCTTCCTTCTTTTCCATCTCTTTCACACTCACACAATTGTGGTTTCTTTTTATATAGCAAGTACACAGTACTGTGACACACGTTACATTTTTATAACTGAACAAATATATTTACAATTTCCTTGGTCATCCAAAACTTTGTTGGAAATATGATCACCTGTTTTCCCCTGTAAAATAGGGGAAGAGTTATGTATCTGAATGGTTGTGCACATCCAGTCAAACTAATCTCTGTTGAAAAACAACATCTCAGCTGATGTGATTGAAGATTATTTTTAGAATTTGATAGAGGCTGTTTGGAAACTATTTTGCATTTTTAATAAATGGATAGGAAGGGCACAAGTAAGATGTGAGACAATTATATTAACATCACGTAGTTACTTAAAACATTTTGTGCGTGAGAGGAGAGAGAGCTAAAGGAAAAGTTACGGGAAAATGCAGCTGATGTAGACAAAATTGATTATTTGCTTGATTTTGATTGCTGTAATGAGCTTCTGACCTTGTCTGGGACATGCAGAAAGTGCCAATACTGCAAGAGCACAGTTACTGTTCCGATCCACACAGCAAATTATGATGTGGCATTTTGCATCCCTTTGGGTTGCTTAAGCCAAGTGAAATACCCATGGGGAAATCGTGGTGCACTATGCAGACACAGGGTATACTACCGGGACTACAAATTGGATTTTGTTATAGTAATAAAAAAAAAACAAAGAAAACAAAACAAAACAAAACATCCGAATGCAAAACCCAAGATAAAAGGGGGGAAGAGTAATAGAAATGGGAGTTAGGAGTTAAAACTCTCTGAGTAATTTATCCACTGTAGAATAGCAGCAAAACTCTATAGTCATCCAGCTGCTAACATCAATAAACATGAATTTTCTTCTCAGAATTTATGTCAAGAGGAAATCAGAGAAGCATAAGAAACAGTACAAGCTTTTTTGTGAATCTGGAGCTACAAGTGACTATCTGTGGCTTCTGCAACTCGCCTCTTCCAAGATTTGTTTTCCTTTTGATGGTCTCCAATCTCTTTTTATAATCAGAGTCCCATATGAAATTACTTTGAAATTGTTAAGATGAATGCAAACATGGCAATAGTAGTTCCCAATACTAAGAAAGCACAAGAGGCCTTTTCAAAGCCATATGCATACTTGGAAGCAGTAGATATTATCTATCTATTTTTATATGTGTAAAAAAATATACTATGTAGTATTGACTTTCTTACTAGTAATATACTGCTTATTGAAGCATGGTCATTATTACTAATAGTGCACTAGCAAAATCATCATTTGTGCAACCTGTAAACAGATTATGCCTGCCTGTCTTGTTCATGACTTTACAGCATTTAGAAGGTTTTTAAAAATTTCTTTCCAGCATATATTTGAGAAGAGAGTTCACTTTTATTTATTTCTCAGAGACATCTTGAAAGGTTCTAAAGACATAAATGTAGCAAATGTAGGAAAAAAAACAGCCAACCAACCAACCAACCAAACCAACCCAAACAAACAAAAAACAAAACCAGGGAAAAAAGCAAATGACTGTATTAAACTGCAACCATTTTAGTTAGCAAAGTGAGAAAGTATTGAAATGGTTTTAAAGTTCATCAGCAATAGATGTTTAGATTGCAAGAGGTCTTAATTGTTGTAGAATTTTTCTGTGAGTTGTTTTTGGTCAACACTTACTGAAATTTGGCACAAAGCTGAAACGTGGGCCTGGAGAGGTGTACTCTCTGAAGCCTGGCTGCCTTAGAAGCCATAAGCAAACCAGCACTTGACTTCTTCTGTGATGAGAATGCTATGTTGTCTTTCAACAGCTCTTAGTTTCAAGGAATTTTATGTATTTATAAAGCTGTCCTGTATGTTTTTATGTGGAAGTGGAAGTTTTTAAATGGAAGAAGGGCCTGAAATCTCTTTGTAGATAGCTGAGGGACAGAGTGCCATTTCAGAGCTCCAAGGTAGATGTGAGTCAGAATTTGAAAGAGTAAGCTTCAGTACCACATTACATGGTGACATGGTTACACTGCTGTGAGATGTCTGAAGAATAGTCAGCTTGTTCTCCAAGTCCTCCATCCAGAAGTGCTTGGGGTAAACAGTTTTGCAACCCCTCAGCTAGGACTGGGCCCATGATGTCTTTCAGTTGAGAGATCTTGTAGCAGAACTTCCTACAAACCAAAGACTTGAGTAACTCATTGGGCTTCAACTGGGCTCTTCTGCTTACCTGGTTATGAAAGAAGCTGACTCCAAGTTTGGCATCAGCTTGCCAGTCAGCTGAAATAATGCAGACACTGGTAAGCAGTGATTACAGTTAGCTACAGCTGAATCAACAAGACTTGTCCAATAAAACCCAGGATGGGCAAGAATTTTGCATGAAGCTCGTGAATGACTTTTCACTACATCAAAGAATATGTGGGTATTAAAATGGGCAGTTGCTGTGAGTTGACAGTCACTGACCGTTGGTCAAGAAAATTAACAAATTCCGGGAAAGTGAGCTGGGTTTACCCCCTAGTTAACTCTCTGATAATTCATTTGCTTACCCACACGTGTGATTTGCGACAGGAGGCCAAAGCAATGCAAAGAGATTTTGGGGCTAGAACTAGATTCTATGTCCACCTAAGTAACACAACAGCTAATGCTGAGAGCCAAAGCTGACAAACTCAAATATTAGTGTGTGTGTACCAGTCATTATACCACAGCAGCCATCATAACTGAATGAATACGTGTTATTTTGGCCTTGCTGGCATAGTAAATGTGCTGATGGTAGTGGAGTTTCTAATGTAAAGCCTAAAAAAGCAAGAGGAACACTATGCCCATAACATCGGTTAACTGTTTTGTTCCAAAGTGAGATGAGCAGATCCAAAATATTTCCCTTAAAATATACATATTTAGTGGTTCAATTAATAGTTTTTCATTCACAGATGCTAAGATGCTAAAGACTTCTGAAGGGGAAGGAGTAACTGAAACACAAATTAGTTAAATGAATTGAGCAAGATTTTGAAGTAGATTTCAGTTAGTGTTATTGGATAATAGTTTCTGGTTTCACCTATGCCGATCCTGGAACGAACATGTATGGATTTAGTTTTGTAAATACAAATTACATGAACTCTTTATAGTGACCAATAGTTCTTTATATAGTAGGATGATGCTTTCTACTGTATATGTATGTTCTCACCTGTTATTAGCCTTCCTGCCCTATTTTCCTTCATGTATTCTAAAGCATTCATATAGCCATGAGAAGTTTCTGCATGTATCAAGTTTACAATCTTCAACTGCCAAAAGAATGTCACAGTCTTTGTCGTGCTGCATGCGTGTGTGAAAGGAGTGCATGAGCAAACATGATACCTTTACACTTGCAGTTGTCTTTTGAATAACCGTAAAAATAGCTTTCACCCTCAAGAGTAGACGTTGCAGGATCCCAAGGTCCTGAAGTGCCATTCAATATGATGCAGACTGGAATTTCATTGAAAACAGGCTTATAGTGAACAAACCTGTATATACCTGAATATATATTTATATACAAATAATTCAGGTATATAACCTGAATATACCTGCATATATGTTTATACTAATGGCAAAGATGCGAAGTGGCCTCGGTACAGAGCCTGCTGTGGCAGATGTTCCTGAATTCTGTGATGCTGGATGCATGTCCCTCCTCCCCTTTCCAGATCAGGCCTCTCTGCCCTGGGCTTTGTGTCCTATAATGCTAAGTTCATCCATATTCGTCACATTCCAACTAAATATCATGCAATGGTGTGATACTGTCTCCTGCAAGCACATTTCAGTTAATTACTTGGGGATTTTCCTTGGTTGGTTGTTTTTTCCCTGAAAGCTAGAATCAAATACAAGTAAGACTTATTCTGATAAACTTCCAGGAAACATTTGGGGAAGAAAGAAAAAAAGCAGAGGTATCTTATTGCTGTTACACAGACTGTAACCATGGACTTGCGTAAACAACTGGAGAATACTGAGAGGAACTGGAATAAAGAGAAGATGGAATTGCTGGAGAGATTTGACAATGAAAGGAAAGAATGGGAATGTCAATGGAAGGTCATGCAGAAGAAAATAGAAGAGGTACATCTCAACAAAACGCTGAACACTAACATTTTCACTTGGGGTGAACTGGCGAAGGGTTGCTCCAATTTATTTTTTTTCTGAATCATATCCTATTTCTTATTTGTCCCTGAAAGTTTCAAATAGCCAATGACAGGATGCAAAGCCTGGGGTTAAGCAGTATTTGCCATTGCTCATTTAGTAGTCATGAATACAAAGCAGGGGGTTAAATGTCTATTTGTGTGAAGTTTGCTGTGATACTGTTAGCTGTCTATATTGCTGCTAGTCCTGCTGGGCTTGAGCCTCTCTGCTCATATTATACATGTACAAATTACACAAATACGTGCTGAACAACTACATATATGGAGTTTAGGAAAATACACATCTAGTGACAAAAAATCTAGGTAACATTATTTTCTGGCAAAAAGAATTTAGATGGCACAGGTCTGCTGGGGTAAGTGGTAATATTAAAAAGAATGTCATACATTAAATGCTGCGTGATGCAGAATCATTCTGACTAGAACCTGCTCCATTTGCAGGCATCTTTTAGTAGAGAAAACAGCTACAGTAAATAACATGAATGTTCTGACACCACTTTTGTTTACACATACTAACAAATGCTCACTCCCTGCCATTCCTAATGCATCTCCTTCCAGAAATAGTTACAGTAATTATTTATTATTCATTATCCCCAAACTCTCCCTGCAGCAGAACCCTCTGGCACTCTGTAATGCATAAATTGATTCTGCCTTGGCAACATAAAGAAGGAAATTTTTTTACCACTGAGCTTTTCACATTTTTCATTCTAATATACACATGGAGAAGTTTTGCTTGCTCTCTGCCAACACCGTCCTGTGGCTAAGCAACACAGGAATGTGTGGCAAAGACTGCTCACATGAAAGTATGAGAAGGAAAATTATCAGAGCCAAGTGAATTACAGCCATACATTGCCCATTAAAAGAGCCTGCAGCATAACTCCATGATGTCAGCTCTCTATTTTACCTGCAGTTTTTACAGACTTTGTTACATCTTGTCTTTTGTGTAGGACATTTCTGTGCAGTCTTACCTGGTACCACCACCAAAGTGAGAGTGCTTCAAGAGTTAGTAATGTGATCTATATGTGTGGTTGAATTTCAGTTTGTTAGGTATATGAGCTGGTTTGGAGTGACAGTAATGTATTGTGGAAAGGTATTCTGGCTATTAGTAGTTCTGCTAGTGACAGCAATGACCAATTTTTTGCCATGTTCTTTATTCGCATATGGAATAGAAAAGCATGACAGAGACAGAGAAAGAGATAAATCAATGGGATGGAGCTGAGGGGAAGAGAATGAAGCAAATTGCTGGGTACTTCAGGACCAGACAAAACTACAAATGATACCACAAGGTTATCAGTATCCTAAGGTCCCCACTTACTCATGTCTTTAGCTGCTCTTGATTTCAGTTGTCTGACATTTCTTCACCAAAAGCCACATGGCTGGAGAAAAAGGGGAGATACCTTTTAAAAGCCATAATCTCTATAGGGATTTCCTCAATAAATCTTTTGCTACCCTATCAGCTTGTATTTTTATTTGATATTTTTTTCTAGCCCACCAAAACCTAACTTAATTACTGGATTATTCCAGGGAGACTTACATGGTTTAGGAGACTATATTGTTGAGTTATGAGGTGGTATCCTTCCTTCTTACTGCTATGTTGAGTCCATATGAGGCCTCATTTCTTGGAAATGACAAAGTTCAGCCATCAGGTTCCATGAACAGCTGGGCTTTGGGAGTGAAATCTGAAAGCCCAGGATCAGGTCAAGTGTCAAGTCTCTGAATGTGAGAATACTTCTAATCAACAGAACTTCCCATGAAATGGCCACATGTTCTTCATGTTGTTATTCTTTTTCACTGTCCTTCCAAAAGCTGTTGTGATGGCCTTGTGCATGGTGAGAGAACAGACAGACAGCTATTCAGAGGTGCCTGCTCTTCACTTTCTTCCTAAGTGCAAGTTAAGAATGAATGTTTATAAAGAGCCGTGGGATTCTTGGCACTAGAAATGATACTGTAAGCAGAAGAGGTTTTTATGATGTTGCTATTTTTTCTAATTTATAATTTATCACAGTTCCCTAGTTTGAAAGTACTGGGTGACAGGAATTAACACCTTTTCATTTACTAATGAAGCCACTGAATCTCAGCAGACAGCATGAAAGAAGATAAGAGGGTGACAGCACACTGCCAAATAATATCATTCTGCAGTACTCATCACTTCAGTCATAGGGAAGAATTCCACTTGCCTGAGAACCAGAAGAGTGTGCTCTAGTGCAGATGGCACTGTATATGATGAGCATGCAGTTCCCATCCTTAAACTAATATACTTTAACAGGCTGTAACATAGCCAGAGCCCTCTCCCTCCCTCCCATTCCTTCACGTTACCAATCCATCAGACTGGGGCTGTGTCCTGTGCTCTGATCTTACTTGGAAGACAACCATACAGCTTCTAGCTCAAGGCAGGGCCACTGACTTCGTGAGATCTCTTCTAAATCTTATACCGTGGGTGGAAGCCATACATTAAAACCATGGCAAAGAGTTTATGAATGGTGACAGCCTTTTCCTCATCTTGTGACAGTAACAGTCTGTGAACTATTACACGGGGTGACTCAACACTTTTCTACTAACACATGTATAAAATCTTTCTTCTTGGTGCTGCCGAGCAAAGTATCATTCAAAACAGAAGACGAGTATGTTATTTTACCATTAAATTCATCATAGTACCATGATTTAATAGAAGGTTCTATTGTTTTTTCAGCTTTACCAGGAGGTAAAACTTAGAAGGGAGAGCAATATGAATGCCCATGATAATAAAGCCATTCAGAGCAAGATGCTGCAGCTGTCCACGCATTCCCCTGCTTCAGAAGAGAGTAACACAGTGGAGCTGAACGATCAATACAATATGGCAAATGACAGGATGGAAAAAGGGAGTTTGCTCGGTAAAACAGGACTCGAATGCAAAGAAAACAGAGCCAAGAGCAGAAACAACACTCTGTTAATGGACAATCTTGCCTTTGAGAGCTGTGAGGAACCTGAAGAGAGTGTCAGCATCAAAATGTCAAAAAAAAATAACAAGAATTATATTGGTGATCTCAATGTAGTAAGTATAGTATGAGCATGTTTCAGTTATGAGGTTGAGGGAAATACTGAGGGCTTTGGCCTGCCAGGTTAACATAAACAACTGATCTCCCTGATTTTAGCTTTGTAGCAAGGCACTGTCTCTACTTGCTCCTCAGTTTGCTGTTGATGAGTGTCTTCTCACTGTTGAAATGTGTTAACAGCAGGCATTTTACCTCCATTCATAACCTGGGGGTGGCTTTGTATTTTGTTTTGTGCTACTTTCCTCTGTAGTCAGTCCTAAGTGCAAATCACCACAGATTTCAAAATAATTCTGGAAATACCATTTTAAAGGCTTATGTTAAAGGACTGGTTTTATATTTTAAAGGCTCTCAAAGAACTTGCCAGAGTCAGTGAAGAATTATGCAGCTATCAAGAAGAAATTCGAAAGAAGTCCAACCACAGAAGGTAAAACCATATTTGGACTCTTTATATTAAAGAAAATGAATAATGAGACTGTGCTCCTGTTCACTTTGAAGGGGAGTTTCATGTTGAATTTATTATTTCGTCAGTTTCTATCCTACTATTGTTTCAGTGCTCAGTATAAAACATTCAAATGAAATATACTGAAATATGATACAAGGGCACGTTTTGCTAGAAAAATGGAGTTTATCAATAGAACCTATCAAGTGAAATGAGTATTTATACAATATGAAGTTGTACTAATTTGTAATGGTTATATTGAGGACTGGGAGAGTGAACAGACATTTCTGTTTATCTTGGTCCCATTTCCATGCTGTTCTGTACAACACTGCATGAGTTTGTTAGGCTGAGAGGTCTCTTGCACTAAGCCTGAATCTAGCCTTAAGTGTGAGAGATGTCAGGGACTGACAATCCAAGAGTGTAAGGAAAGCAAGAGAGGGAAGAACAACCATACATTTGTACAAATGGAATGATGGTAAGACAGACCCTGAAAAGTATGGCAAATGAACATTCTGTCATCTGTTAAAAATTTAGTGTTCATGGTTTCCTTTAGCAAACTAAACACCTTTCTTCTCGAGTTGTGCAGAAATTCTCACAAGGTGAGACTGAACTTGTGATATGACAGGGTGGAGACCATGAAAGAGATTGAGGAAAGCTATGTCTCAGCTATGCTGAGATCCCGTGGAAGTCTGCATCATGGCAAGCTCTTCTCAGATGCTCCCAAAAAGCAGAGGGACTTCTTACACTCCCCCATGCAATCAGTTGGCTGGCTGTCACTAATTTATTATTGTACCTGTGTTAGTGTTAGTATCTTTAAAGCAAACAGATTCATAACTGAGGTATAGTTTCTAAATCCTGTCTGAGAAACATAATTTTTGAACAGATCTCAAAAGACACATTTGTGTTGTCATGTGGAATGTTAGGAAACGTACATAAGGGATGCACTATGTCCTAAAGCTTTCTTCATTCTGTTCATAGTCAGGCAGACTCACTGAATCCTGCAGAGCTCACAAGATCCTACTGTCCTTACTGTAGGATAGGTGAGAAAACAAGCAATCATCTGCAAAAACTTACAAAAAGAATTTTAGTGACAAGGGAAAGGAGTACAAGATTGCCACCGCTGAGCTTTCTTCCAGTTTTTCATGTATATTTCAGATATGCTGGGTGTACCAACTGCAGCAAAGCTGCTCCCAAATCTTTTTAAGCAGTTAGTGTTAAAACACCTGCTCGTGGAGAGAATGAATCCATGCTGAGGCCCCCTGGGGGAATATTCTTATTGCTCATCCCTAAAACACCTCTCCTTTTATTTGTAGAATGAAGTCACTTCCTTTCCTGGGGGAATTTGAGGAAACCCAAAACACAGTTATTCTGCCTGAAATGAACCATATGTCCAGCAATGAATCACCGACTTCAGTTGCTTTTGAGACAGAGGAACATAAAAACAGGAAGAATCTGATGAGCTCCACTAAGGCTTTGAAGGACATGTCTTATGGTGATCTTACTGGTGACAGAGGAATAGACTTCAGACCTTGGCAGAAGAAAGAAGCTCCACCAGTTCCTCCACGAAGCACTTCTCGGCACCTAACAAACTCGCTTTCTGCAGTTGTACAGCTTTCTGAAACTCTAATAAGGGATCCAGGCATCAAAGGCAATTACAAGGCTCAGGGCTGTAGGAGTGGAAGGAAACTGATCAGTCCTTCACCTCTAAACCAGAATGAAACTGCAGCAGCCTGGGCAAATGAAGGGCAGGCTGTGAAAAGTCCTCTGATAGTAACTGCTTCAATACCTGTAATCAAAAATGAGTGCAGCGTACCAACAAGTTTCTGCCACAACACATGGGCATATGATGTGGGCAAACTTGGAAGAGACAACAGAAGTGAACACTCCCCATTGTCAGCCCAAAAGAGTTGTTCAGATGGAAATATGGCCCAAAGCAACAAGATGCACCAGAAACAAAATCCCAAGTCTCACAGCAGCCCTTATTATAGTGATAACTTTTACGCTCCTGCTAACCTGCACAGTGATCTTCTGGAAGACTCCAGGTATACCTGGGGAAAGACGCAAAGAAATGAAACTTTAGCAGCAAAGATTGATGAGTTTAACCGGACTGTATTTCACACAGATAAACGTAACAATGCTTTGCAGGAAAATCAGGTGCCTCAAACAGCATCAGAAGATCACAAACCCTGCGTCCCATCGTGTGACTCTGCTATCAGCAGGACAGAAACTGTGAATACATCCTGCGCTTCAAATCCCAAACTCTCTGCAGCAAAGGAGCACGAAACTAGCAATGCCAGCAGAGCTGTCAGAGCAGCAGGGCAACAAAAGCAAATAAATGGACTTCCAAATACTAGCGGTTACAGGCACATGCTTCATGAGCATGACTGGAGACCAAGTAATTTATCTGGTCGCCCGCGTTCGGCTGACTCAAGGTCCAACTATGGTGTTGTTGAAAAGCTTTTGAAAAACTATGAAAAATCAACAGTGACTCCTCCGTGTAATGCAAAATGCTGCAAAGATAAATGCACACAGGCAAATTCTGAATTCACGGACAGGGGTTGTGAGACATTGAGTCAGTATTTAGAAACAGTCCAGATTGAGCAAGGAAGGCAAGAATTTCCAAGGAATTCGGCCAGGCATATTGGGCAGCAACTCAAGCAAGGAAAAGAGAGACAGAAGTTACCAGAGGTAAGGTTCACAGGAATGGCAAGAACAAAATAATTAGTTTCATACCAAGCTTCAGATTCTGAAATGAGGCAGGCTAACCTGATATTGTAAATAATTGTGTAAAAAATAGACAGTTTAGGCCAGGATCTGAACGAATCAGGAGTATTTCCTCTGAAGAGAATAGAACTGTGGGAAGGCAGAAACACATAAGTAAGAATGACCAGTGGAGACGTGTGCCAGATTCTGATCTCTGCTGCTGTTGTGTAAAGCTAGGTTTTAACTGCAGTGCAGTTATTCAAGGAACTGCAGCCAGGTCTTAACTCCTTCCCTCCTTCGTTTAGCTGAGGAGTTATTTCATTAGTCTTTCCAAAAGGCTTAAGCACACTTGGGCATGTCAAAGTCCTAGAGGGCTTAGATAGCATTCTTCAGCATCCAGGGTGCTGCTTGGTTCAGGATTTCCTTGGAACTGCCTGTGAAAAGGGTACTGTAGCTCCCTAAAGTTTCCCGTAATAAAGTGACTTCCTCTTACTCGTGTCTCTGTGAGCATAGGCTTACAGAACCAGAAGACTACGGCATGACTGATTAATTTATATTTTGCTGAATTTTATGTGCAAAAGTTTAGAAATATTGTCTTTGCCAACATTGTTTCTTATTAAAAAGAGAAACAAAGTATTTTGAAAATACACTGTAAGTCACAGGTTCTGGAAAAGGACACAAAGAAAGAAAAATAACTGCTTGAAGAGCTCCTTTGGCCAATGAACACAAAGAGGTATGCCCCTTAGCATCTCAGAAAAGAGGAGGCAAATGTCTTTGGAGCTGAGAAGCTTAAGCGGGTTCAGACTGTCAGCTGGTATGCTTTAAACTGTCACAAATTCACAGACTTCAGTGGAGCTATGTGGATTTAAACAGCTGAGAATCTGACTATGCAGATTGTTTTCTGCACATCTTTCTGACAGCCTTGCAGTGATGCAATATCATGCTTAGCAGACACATCTCTACTACAGCACAGAAAGAAAAAAAAACATGAAGCTTCTGATTTCTTTTTTATCCAATGAACTTTTGATAGGAGCAGAAATTTTCATCACTGAATACGTAGGGAAGAAATAATGCCTACATAATGACTGAGTTTACATTGATGTACTAAGCCAACTGGGTTTTTTTATTCCATAGGCTCACACTTCATGTTGTCATTTCTGTCTGTACAAAGTGTAGGATATTGCCTGATTAGGGGGCACCATTTTAGGTCCAGCAGCATTCCTATCAAAGAGATGTAAAGCACTACACGTGGCATGAGGCACTTGGTTTATTTTCATTCTTTCCAATTTACATTGCTGTAGCTATGATCAAAATCTGTTGGTTTTCCTGTGTATATAAGGCTCTGCATGTGGACCTAACACTACATTAATATATAACCATTCTGAATTAGTTACCAAGTGCAAACAGCTTCACGTTGCACTAGTGGAAACAGAGTTCTTAGCAAGCTGTGACTGCTGAAAATAGGATCTATCAAAGAATACCTGAAAGGTAAGTAGATCATACTCCAGTAATGTCAGATGGTATTCTGAGTTCTATGTTTAGAACAGTATACAGTATTCATCAACCAAAAAACTTCCAAAAATGAAAAGAAATGGGAATTGGATGTCAGTTTTGGCTTGCCTTAACATTTTATACCTTTCCTTTTGTCTGACACTTGTCTCCATATATTTTAAACCGCAACTGATGTGAGAATGGCTATACATAGAAATAGCTGTTCTTTTGCCCTCTGCACATTCCTGTGCTCCTTTTAATAGCCTCAGACCACCTGTTCTGAGGTCACCCCAAATGTCTTCTTACATTCCCACCGCATTCCACAAAAGCTGTAACTTGTTAAAGCAAGGAATTGCCTTTGTGTTCTAGATATCTGTGCCAGCTAAATGTTCGAGTGGGAAGGGTTTCTCCCGGCCCGCTCGGCCAGCGAACCGACGCTTACCTTCCAGATGGGCATCCAGGTCACCGTCAGCACCACCTGCTGTGAGAAGAACAGCAGACAACTGCTCTGTCTCCTTTCGGTCAGAGACCTCAGTAGTCTGAACCCAGAGCTGGGTTGGATGGTGTTGTGAAAACTCTACGCCTCCTTGTAGCGGCGTTCGGTATGTGCTAAGAGCAACCAGTTCTACAGCGTTGTCTCTTGTCCGAGAGCGACCCCACCACAGGCCAGACAAAGCATTTTGAATCTTAGGCCATCATCACCATGGTCTTCAGTGTTTTTATTGAGATGAAATAACTATACCCCTGTTTTTTTCTCTGTTGTTTTGGTAATAGCTCACAAGGAATTTCTTTTGAATGGCATCTTCTTTGATTTGCCAATCAATTTTCAGTTGAACCAATGTATAGTGCTGTATATTCTGACTCTTCTGCAAACAGCAGAACGTAAAGCTGTATGCATGATCATGTGTTCGTAGGTGCATGTGTTGGACTAGGAAGTATACAGGTCTGTATTTAGAACAGACAAACTGTGCTAGTGTTGACAATGAAATTACAACCTATATGCCTACATATATATATATATACTTTGTGTTTATTTTAAAAAAAGTTTGAAATATACAGTCCTGATGACATTTATATTTTGTATATCTTTTACATAGGTTCACAGGTGTAGTATTTAATGTACAAAAACTAAATATGCATTTTTGTGACTGATTGCAGCGATAATGCCTTGCACAATAAGTATCTGAAGCAGACTAGCTCAACTGATTGGTCAGTCATGCTTCATGGCATCCTCGTACAGTTTCCTAACCCTTATGATGCTAGGGCAAAATACCCAAACGTATTTTTTCTGAATTAAAATATTATATGATTTGTAATACATTAGCCTTTTTCAGCACCAGAGACATTCCTGAAATGTTCCAATCCCTTTAAAAAAGCTTAAATGTGCCATTATATATATAGAATACTGTAAACACTTCTATGGTTTCGACTAGCGTAACATACAGTTTACGAAGGGAAGAAAAGGGTTGTATATATGCTCAATTCTGTAAAACTTATTTTTCCTGCGAGCATTATACTTTGAGGTTTGGCAAAGTCAGATAACAGTGGACTTGTTTACTTTCACTCAAGGCAGGAGAACAAGGACCGTTGTTCCCAGTGCTGCAGCCACGCTCCTTTTTCATTCTTCTCCTAGACTAGAGTGCCTGAGCCACTTGCTAATTTACTGCTCCTGGACTGACTCGTGGCAGTCAGTTACAAAGTTTACTTGCACTCTGGCAACAAGCTGCGTCTTGTCTGGAAATATTTCACAGAGATATGATCACAATGATGCCCAGGATCCTAGCGACATGGCGCTGGAAGTGTGTTTTACCATCACTTGACTCTGTATTATGGGCCATCTGAATGAAGTGCACAGAGCCTGGCTTCCTCCTTCCCACAGCGTGAAAGAAGTATGGATGCTACCCAGACTTTAGCTGAACTTTCATCCTGCAATTTTTGCACCCTCTTCTAGGCTGTTGCTGGATGCATAGTGCAGTAATGATGATAAATGTTACCTTTAAACAGCATGTCTAGGTTAAAAGGAGTAAAGAGGCACTTCTTCAACATCAGCCTGAGCTTGTCTCACAACTCTTCTTCTTCTTCTTCTGGAGAAACATAGTGTGTGTTCAAAGGAATTTCAAAAATCATCCCAGGATCCATTAATGTGCACATCTTCTTATGTGAATGTAAAAAAGGATTTCAGAGAGAGTGTAGGCTTTTGTCCTAGTGAATTGTATATGTGGCAACGTAGGGAAAATTAATTGTGTTTAATTTGGTAGTGATCTGTTGTCCTGTTCCAGTCATGTTGAGAATACACATCTTTTTCCTTCCTTTTAGGGTCTTATTCTTCTTTCCTCTGCACAACTTTCACTCTGCAGAGAGAGAAAACAGGAGGCTGTGTGTTCTGAGCAATACAGCCTGCATGGTAGCTTCAGTAAATATTCAGGTGTGCCAGTATCGGAGTGAGCAGGCATCAGAGCCATAAATCCCACCTCGTCGTGCCATTGTGGCTGCCTGCATGGCAAAAACATGCTCAGAGTAATTTTCCCAGTCTTAGACTTCTAGTCTTTTCTAAGTGTGAGCGGTGAGAAAATCCCACAATATATGAAGGCATCAAAGAGATGAACAATTTATTAAAATGCACTCAGGCATAATTGCGAAGTTATTGCTCAAAAAGACAGAAGGACAGAAATTCTTGAAGAAAATTTTTGCAGTTTGGATAGAGGAAAAAAATCTTTGTGCTCAAGTCAAATATCAAGAGTACTATAAATTTGCTTGTTTGCCCTAATTTAGAGATTGCACTCCATTAACTTCCTTAGATCTAGAAAAATTACAGATGATTCATAGTGAATTTGGAGTATGGCTTAAGATTCTAACTGTGGAAATCAGCAAACCAAAATGCCTTGTAAATTGATCTTTTAAATGCCTAAGTAGCTGAGCAGCTTTAAATGCCTAAGGCTGAGGAAAGGGTAATAGGAGAGAATTGTAAAAAAAAAAAATTCTTAATTTCAGTCATTGTTGACTGCAATAAAACTTCTTTAAACTACCTTCACAGTAAAGTTAAGCAGTTTTGTTCTGAAAAATGGTGGTGCACTTTTGTTTAAGTCTGTAACGATTGAAAGCTTTTCCCTTGATCAGTCAGTGAAGGTGTTTCTTTAGTTCCCTTCAGCTTCTTTGATTGCCTTTGACATATGTCACTTTGTTGAGTAACAGACAAAAGATCAAATATCTACAACATTCCCTGATGTATGTAAGTGTAATGAACAGAAGGTTTTTGAAATAAACTAACAGGTCAAGGAGAAGTCCATTTTGTCAAGATTTTCTGTGTCCATCTAATTACAGATGTCCAAAAGTATCAAAACTGGTGATTTTGGTTTTCAGATGGCTATTTTGACATACCAGTTTTAGAAAATTGGCACTGACAGTGTGGCAAACTACACCTGTAACAGGGCCAGTGCATCGTGGTGAATTTTTTTAGTTCCCAAAACTGAGATTACTGAACCATAGTAATGGCTTTATTGCACATATTTGCCATAGGGGAAAGAGCTTTGTTAGACTTTCAGCTTCCCTCATATTATCTCTGACAAGGAAATATGTTACTTTGGAAGCTCTAAACCAAGAGACTCTACACACACACACACACACAAAGACACACACACTCATGCTAGAACCACAAATGACCTAAGTATAACTTGATATTTCTCTTAATCCTAGTGTCACCTATAGAAGTGGTGAGTTTTGTAAGCCTGTTTTTAAAATATGTTTTTAATGCGATTCCTTTATATGCTGTCCAAAGTCTTAATGCAGATATAGGTTATACTTGTGCTCTGAAGAAGTCTAAGACTCTCTTCACCATATGCTTATGGGCTTTAGTACTGCAATAAATGCAAAGCTCCCTGCACACACAGTCAGCTGCCCATCAAAGGGGGATGTCACTAGGAATCAGCTGGCTGGTACTTAGTTGACAGAAAGCATCATTCTCCTGGGAGATGCAGCCATAATCTTTCCCTGAGACCCTTTTAGGGAGGAGTGTGGCAGGGTAGGAATACATAGAGGAGGAGTCTGTTAGACCTACCTACATACACAACATCATGGGCCACCTAAAGCCTAGAAACTGGCCTGACTCAGAGCCTTTGCTAGAGGCAGAAGGAGCAGAGGAAAAAAAATATCCTTTAAAACCTCTGGATATCACTCCTCAAACTCAGAGTACATTTCCACTAAATGTCTTGTCTTTCTAGTGCTAGTGATAGACTTCTAATGAATCTTTAAAATGTTGCTGAAGGGATGAACTTTGCTTGTTCTCCAGCAACAACACGATTATCTTTCAGTATTACACATACTGTAAGGGAGTTAGCTGATATATATAGCAAAGAATTGACAATCAGTGTAATATAATTTCCCAGAGTATTCAGAGCACCAATTTATTTCTCCAGTTGTCTATTTTAAAAATTGTTTCTGTAAATAGAGATTTTGTATCCAAATGGCTTCAACAGCAAAGATCTACAGCAGCCCAGCAGGCAGGCCATTTCCCTTCAAGTTTTGTTATTTCTGGAGCAAGGCTAAATTTCCTAGCATGCAAGAACTTCAGCAATTCTCACAGTGCTGCTATGCAAAGAATTTCTTTGGCTTTGAGATCTGTAATGTACAACTCTAGCCATTATACTGCTGATATTCTCTATTGGACTAAGCCTGTAATGGTGTCTTTGGTTATGTACGTGCTCTTTAAACTGGAAGGCAGAATGCATTTGCTCTAAATGCACTGCATCAAAGCCCCTTGTTACTTCTGGCCTTTCCAGCCCTCATCAATTCCCAGTGGATGTACATTTTTATGTGGTTTATTGCCATTGGTCTATATGCATCTGCCATACCATAGGACTTCCTATCTGTACCCTGATCAAATTTTTTGGACAGTCTATTCTAAGAAGTGCTGATATTATTATTGCCAGTCATAAATATATTAGATCGTAACCTACTATTTTGCATCACTAAAAATGCACTTTCTTCATCAACTGTTAGTAACATACATTATACAATATGCTCTTATTTTTCGAAATTATGATTAATCTGCTTTTGAGGTCTGCTCCTACCCCTCTCCCTCACACCTTTTCTGTTTTGGAAAGTACTTGCATCAGCAGAGACGTGTTTCTGATGTGTACGGCTGATCCAGTTGCTGTGTGGCTATGGGAGCTCATACCTAAGGGTGCCTTGCTAACTGTGGTACTCTGATAAGAATTGTATCACAGTTTCCATGGTGTAAGAGAGGTCAAACTCTCAATATGATCAAAGTAAAGGTGTGCAAATAAAAATCAGAAAGAAAACAGAAGAATCAAAGAGGAAGGTGCACCATAGTAAATGCTGTGGCTAGTTCTTTGCTTCTAATGGACGATCCTTCTGTGCTGCCTATTTCATACTACCTGAAACCTCCAGTAATGTACTACCTTTGTTCAATCAGCATCTTTGCACATGTGCTTTTCCTGCTCCTTGAACCCATAACAGGAAGAGGTAGTGAAAAGCTGATATAAGATTAACACCAGCCCTTCCTCTTTCCATATTTGATGGTATGGTGGTTGCTGAGGAACGCTTTAGTTTCAGTTGTTAATCCTTTCTGTAGCAGCAGTTGGTTTTACCAGAAGGTTCATGGTGGTTCTCACAGCATGAACACCATGGAATGCACAACATACTGTGCCTTCCACCCACGCTGGATTCCCAGCACTGCACAAGGGCACACTCTGTCACACTGCTGAAATGGGGAGATTCCTGGAACATAAATGTGAACCAACTGTGTGCTTGTGTACCAGAGCCAGACTCTACCTCAACTCCACTGGTCATGCTAGGCAGCATGACCAGGGTACAAGCAACATCAGTCCTCAGAACAGGATGTTTTTTACCACACTAGGACAAAAAATATAATCTTACGGTCTTTTCTGGAGGGATGGATTTTTTTTACCCCACTGTGATAAAATTACCGTCTTACACTCTTGCAGAGGGATGCCTTCTCTAGGTACACCTAGGGGCAAGTCCTGAATTTGGA